GAAGCTCATCTTTTTATCTTCAGACTCTTGGCACAGTTAAGATCCTTGCCATGCCCTGGCAACTGCCATAAGAGTTGGGTTATGGCCCAAATAGAGAAGTTCTCCCTAATTAAATCCTGTATTCTCAGAGAAATAAAGATTGTTGTGAACAAAATGCAATCGGGCCTTATGAAATGTCAGGGTTTGACAACAGTTTCTGTGTCTTTGTAAAACCCAAATGAAAGACATTCATTTTTTGAGGTATTCAAGAGGGGGCAACATTTGATACTTCCAGAAAGAATTTAGTATCAGAAAAAGTCTGTTTCACGTGGCAACATCAAGTAGCCTTTTTGCTTAGGCTGCTAAGAAGCTTCCATCTAAACTTAGTTCTCAGATGCTTTTACTGTTTCATCCCATGTATCCAGCACCGTGATAATGTTTACAACCCTTTTTATTTTCTTACTCTAGTTGTTCTTTTATTGCAATACTGCAAGCCTGCTGCCTCAAATTTCAAAGTGGGTAACACATAGGTAAAGGATATATGCCACTAAGTAACAAATAACAGAAGCACAGAAAACTTTTTTGGTATTGCACCTTTATTGAAAAATATATAAGTAAAAACTTATAAAATTCTTAAGCATATACATAGCTAAGCTAAAACACAAAACAATTATACTATTGAAAGATATAGCTTTTATAGATATCCATGCCCGGTATTCCCAATTTAAGAGTTCTAGCCTTAGTCACATGATCAGAGGGTCTTATACTTGTCATAGATCCTAATACTTCACACCTCCGGGCTATGTCAGGAGATACAGGGGAAACAACTGCTACCTAGGCAACCATGGGCACAGCATTGCCATCTAAGGCAGCATTGTCAGGCACTGGGTAAGTTCACACTAGAGACAGAGTCAAGTCATTGAGGATCATATTTTTAAAAATTGGGTTGCACAGTTTTACTGTAGATATGATTGCTTTCAACTTCTTTCTTTACAGAGCTTAAGACCCAATATACAAAAACAGCATTTGACTTTTCCATAGTCCAAATGTCAACTGTCTTGGAAACCCCTTGGGAACATTAGGGCTGGGATGAATTATACCATGAATCCCAGAACTTGACTATAATGTTCTTTTCATTTGCCAGATTCCTATCCCATCTTTTCCTCACCCAATTTCATTATGGCTATAAAATCAGGTTTAAAAGTTCCAAGGAGAGGAAAAATCCAAGCTTGATGATGACTTACAGTGTTCTACCCTGTCTGTGCTCATCTGGGTGATCTGTGCAGGCCCCGCCATGAGGGCAGGAATGACGGGGAGGCTCACAGTCTGCCAAGCACTGGGCTCTGGGATTTGCCCTCTTGCTCACAGGCTTAACTTCCATAAAATGTGACAAGACTGAATCTGTCAAACCAATCTCCCACATCTTGGGAGGCATTCCTTCCAACACTCACATGATTTAAGAAGAATAGCAGGCCCCCATCTGATTTCACCTACAGAAACAATGACTCCTCTGCTCCAGGAATGGCAAGAAACATTTCAAAAAAGAGCTCCAGCTTAAACGCATGTGGGCTGATCTACACCCCCTCGTCAAGCATTCTTCTGGGTCTTCAGAGTACAGCTCCTCATCTCATTATTTCTAAGGCCCCTGGAAAGAAAAAAGAGGACAGCTCAAGAACTCTCTAAATCAGGAAAGGGGAGATCATTTTCGCGCTGTTTTTTCAGTCTATCATGATGTGGACAGAGAGAGAAAGCTCAGCCAATGTGCTGAGTTAAACGCTTGATAGTAAACTCAATTATTTAAAATGACAGCAAAGCAGCACTGACACACAGAGCCACCAGGCTGAGAACATTCCGTTTATGAGTTCACAACTCCACGTGGGAGAGAAAAAACAACCTGACTGTATGCTAACCTGACTTTGCCTTTTTAGTCTTACTGAGTTTTATTCTAGGGAATAGAAATAGTAAATGAACATGAAAGACACAATCCCTGCTCTCACAGCATTTAAATTATTGAAGGGGAGTCAAGTCAATAAACCAAAATAAATAAATTCAAATTATAATAACTGTGTAGAAAATAATTAGACAAGGTGACGAGATAGTGACTGTCTTATAGGTGGGGATTTAATAATAATATGGTCAAGAAATGCCATTCTTGAGAAGATGAAATTTTAGCAAAGATATAAAGAGGAAGGCATTCGTGTGTGATGTCGGCGTGTAGGGGGAAGTGCATTTTAGGCAAACAAATGGACAAAGCCTAAGGTCCTGAGGCAGGAAGAAGTTGGACATGCCTACACAATAAGGGAAGGAAAGCCAGTGTGGCTTGAATGTCAATAGAAGGAATGGGAGGTAATGATGGAAAAGAGAAGCAGATAAATGGTCAGATTATGAAGGTATCTGTAGGTCAGATAAGGAATTTGGATTTTACTCTGTAGTCAATAGGTACCTTCAGAGCAGAAAAATGACAGGACTAATTTTTAAAGAAACCTCTTGCTACTCTGTAGAGGTGAGAAGCAGCAATAGACTACACCTTCTGGGTGGAAACTTCCTGGTTCCCCTAGCAACCTTTCTGTGCCCTGTTGTTCTGATCCTTTAGTGGGCTCTAGGACATTGGAGTTCAGGGGAAACACATAATCCTAGACTGTGAACCAGTAGGATGTATTCCTAGTTGAGTCCCACAGCCAGGTGTCTGGTCCCACACCTGGTGCTGCAGTGGCAAAGTCAGTACCTGTGATCCAAAGGATGTTGTGTCCATGAGGAATTTGGAAGCTTGGAAATGGCACTCAGTAAGTTCACTAGGTTCTTTCCTGCGTAAACACTTTTTGGGCTGGCTACATGTGAGTTTGGGACTGGACGTCCTTGTGAGAGTAAGCAGGAAGCATGAGTATGGAATGGAGACTGATTTACCAAAGACCACTTGTCCCTAGCTGTGACTACAAATACCCCAAACTGCTCCGTTACCTGTTCCCTCTCCTTCTAGTCTCTCTACTTTCTAGGGTTTTTTAAAGACAGTCCAGTATAGCATGGAATATATTTATTAAAGATCAGCATTTGCTCTTAGACTTTTACATGGATTTATGGATTTTACTACTGATTATTCTTTCATACATATTCATTCCATTTATGAGAGACATATACCAAAGGAAGACATATGGATGAGAGAAATATTCAACTATTTAAAGTTAAGAAAACAAAAACAAATTTTATTAATGAGTTATGACGTCTTTATTATTTAGTAATGGAAATATGTGGCATTTATTATTTTACATATACTAATTCATCTAAATAAATCACCTTTCAGAGAAAATACTAAATTTCTTTCAGTCTTAAAAAATATCTAGGCCAGGTGCAGTGGCTCAAGCCTATAATCCCAACACTTTTTGGGAGGCCAAGGTGAGAGGACTGCCTGAGCCCACGGGTTCGAAACCAGCCTGACCAACTTGACGAGAATTCATCTCTACAATAAATCAAAAAATTAGCCAGGCGTGATGGTGCGTGCCTGTAGTTCCAGCTACTTGGAAGACTGAGGCGGAAGGATCACCTGAGCCCAGCAGGTCGAGGCTACGGTGGCCATGAGCATGTCACTGCACTCCAGCCTGGGCAACAGAGTGAGACTGACTCCAACTCAAAAAAAAAAAAAAAATCTATTTGTTCCAAGATGATACAATGATTAGTTTATGATTGTACATATATACACCTATCATGGCCTCATTGGCCTGCAATCCATTTCTCTCTCTTAAGGATGTGAGGGCGGGGGAGGAAAGCAAAAGAGGCCTGGTCTACTCTCCTTGAAAACTTACTTATAATCAATTTCTTAGCAAGCAAAGTATTGACATTAGCAGAGATATAGTTCTGAACTATGGAATTATTTTAGAAGATGATTCCTTTATTGGACTGCTTATGGTAAAAAAAAAAAAAAAACTACGAATTTAAAGGGCAGGTCTCCGTGAAAAATGCCATAAAAGCTACATGACTGAAATGAAGATGTGTCATAAAACAAAATGTTCCTTTACCCGAGGTGACTGCACACATGATTAGAGACCTTACCTTTGAACCTAGGACAGAATACAGTGGAGCAGACCAGTTTCATGAGAGACCAGAAATAGCTGCAGGAAGGGGCTCCCCCACCCTGGCACAAAGATGGAACCTTGGTCAAGTTAGGAGGACACAGAGGTTTATGTGACCAAGGAATTGGACAATCTTCTACTACTTCTATCTTAAGAAATCAGAGAAAGAGAGCCAATCAAACATAAAGGAAGCAGGAGGATCCTTCCTGTCTACAATAAAGATAAAAGCAAAAGTCAATAAATTGAAAATAGAGGCCAGGTGCGGTGGCTCACGCCTATAATTCCAGCACTTTGGGAGGCCGAGGTAAGAGAACTACCTGAGCCCCCGGGTTCGAGACCAGCCTGGGCAAATTGGTGACTTCATCTCTACGATAAATCAAAAAATTAGCTGGGCATGGTGGCGCGTGCCTGTAGTTCCAGCTACCTGGAAGGCTGAGGCGGAAGGATCGCCGGAGCCCAGCAGGTCGAGGCTGCGGTGGCCAGGAGTGGCCACTGCACTCCAGTCTGGGCGACAGAGTGAGACTCCAACTCAAAAAAAAGAAAAGAAACAAGAAAGTAGAGAAAACCCAATAAAACACGGAAAAGATCAATAAAATCGTAAATCTCTAGCTGATTAAGAAAAAAGACATGAAACAAATTACCCATAAACGACGCGCCGTGCCACCGGCCAGTGGGGCGTAAGCTAAGACCGCCCCTGCAAAGCGGACCGAGGACCTGTCAGTGCGCATGCTCCGACCTTGATCGTATTCTGCCCGGTAGCTTTTGAAGGCCATTCCTGAAACCACATGGCACGCGCATGCGTGCCTACAGAGCTGGCTCTCGCGACAAAAGCGAGAAGCGGCGGATCTGGGGTTGGAAGTGGGGCGAGCCGGAAGTCACCCTGCTTCCTCGTTTCCACCTTGCACTGACGGAAACGCAGGCGCTGGGAGAGGGGTTCCGGGGCTGGGCTGGCCTGGCCGAAGCCGGCGGAATGGAGACCAGTACCGAGGACGGGGCGCTGACCTCCCGCCCGATGCTGGCTGCTTCCTGGGATGCCGCAGGCGGGGCCCTGACCCAGAGCCTCCTTCTCTCCCGGGCTGGACTCGGCGCCCGCGACTTCGACTGGGAGGAGCTGTTGGCGCCGCCTGCTTCGGGGTGCGCCGGGGCGGCGGGGGCCGGGGCCGCCGCGCTCGGTG